TCCAAGTTCTAGCGCGCTCCAGTGACTTACTCTTCTGTGCCTGAAAGCCAAATATATTTGTTCAGCAAGAGATGCTGGTAACCCACTCCAACGCGTTAAAATACAATACATATAGATATATATATATATATATATATATATATATATATACGAAAACCATTTTGAACATGAAGATATATTCTACGAACTCTAGCTTTTAAAACAGGGATAGACTCAACAGATAGGGCTAAGCACAGATAGCAGTTTATACCAAGCATATACAGTTCACAATAGGCAAGACAGACAAGATAAGCACAATTAATAATCATAACCTAACATATACGATTCCCAATATGAATCCCATAGTCACATCCCCAAGGCACTCATAACAACAACTCCTCCATATCTCATCACATAGCACACTTTGTTGGCGCCACAGGACCAATCGCATGCCCATACATGAGGGTCAGCGCATATAGCTCTGACACGGCCCCGCAGCACCCTGCCCCGTATCGCAACACGGAGGGGTCGATCACAACCGACCGATGAACCGCAGCTCATCATAATTTGATCGCAACCAAACAGTGGACCGCAGCCCAAGAGTATGTCATCTGACCGAAGCCAGGAAATATGAACCGCAGCTCATGTAGAAACGTTTGATCGCAACCAAACGGTGGACCGCAGCCCAAGAGTGTAAATCTGACCGCAGCCAGCTTCTGAACCGCAGCTCAGGAATAACCAATCCGATCGCAACCAAATTGGGGTATCATGCACACATAACACATAGCAAGAACATGCAACCCACATTAACACATTGGGAAGGGGGAGAAAACGTATAACCAAAACCTATGCGTGATCCTTCACATACTAAGAATAATCCTAAGGGGTTCATACTTCTTTCACCTGGGTCAACGGGATACCAATTCAACTAGCATGCAATATATAAGACTCATACAACCTACGAACAGTACCCGAAATATCAAACTAGACATAGGCACGATAGACGGAGAACGTTGGGACACCACGGGGGTCGGGGGAACATCAAACGGGGAAGCCAAAATCCCAAAGTGGGGTCCAAACCAGCGGGTGAGGGATCACCCGCCGGCTGCCCGCCGGCGGTAGCTAATCCGGGCAGCGGGTGCCCGGCGGGCAGCTGCCCGCCCGCCGGCTGCCCGCTGCCGGCGTTGCCCAAGAAGGCCGCGGGTAGGTGGCGGGTCCCCTACCCCCACCTACCCCCCACTGACTCTTTTTCACCAAAAATTCCCCGGGAACCTTTGTGGAACCCGAAACCATGCTTAGACACTTTCAAACGCAATTGATAACACACGTAGACAATTAACGGGTCAAAGATCGAGAAACATATGACACATAACCTATCATGCTTTTCTAAACATAATCAACACCCAATCATGCGAATTCCCACCCAATATACCAAGAATAATTCCATACGATACAACCTAGGGTTCTAATCATTTTTAAATCAACAAGGACACAATTCATCTTCCAATATCAAGATTCGGTAAGAATATCATATAAACATCAAGAACATCCTACAATCATCAAGAACATCATATAATCATCACGAACGTCATATAATCATCAAGAACACCATAATTATCAAGAACCTTTTATCATCAAGATCACCCATGGAATTATCCCATCAATCATCAATAATAATATCACAAATCATCAATACACAATAATATGGGGAAATCCTACGGGGAAAATCATAGCTATGAAAATAGGTTTTGTTGAGACATGGGTTACCTCTTAGCCTTAATTAATTCCTTGGTTATGAAGGGTCTTTCTTGAAGCTTTCTTCTTTCTTGATTTCTCCTAGGGGAATTCTTGGAACTTCTTGTGTGGTGAGGGATTATTGTGTGGGGATTCTAGGTGCCTCCTTATGTTCCCTATTTATATATCTAAGAGTCTTACTTAGGCCTAATTACTATAGGTTTGCTAACTCTATTCCTTTTGGGACTAAGGATTGGGTTTAGGGATAAGGGCCTGTGGACTATGGTGGGCATTTCCTAATTAAGTATTGTGATTTAATTCTTTCTTTTGGGTGATTTGGTTACATGATTAATTGGTTTTAGGGATCGTAACACGGGATGTTACACCGACAATCTCCAACAATTCCACCAATTTCAAAGTACACGAGGGTTCCGTTCATTTCAATCACACAAACACCAATCACATGAGCCTGAAGCCCAAAATCACATGATCCTGAAGCCCAATTTACAACTCCATTATCATTTCATGGCCACCACGAGGACCACATCTATACCTTGGTGATTAATGTTTCATACCATTAATCGTGCAATCCAGGTACAGCCAACACACACATTCTCATCATAGGAATCAATCAATGGATCACAACAAAGATATGAAACCATACTCAATCAAGGAAGGATTACAATCCGACTCCAAACAATGATCAACACAAGTTGTCATTCTCAAAAGGGAAGAACAAACCGCATACACTAGCATTCCAACATCAAACTAGCATGTTTATCAAACGGGTAAACCAAATATAGTTCCGAAGAACATACAAGACTCATCACGGTTCAACGAATCACAAAGTTGAACACTTAGCACGACTCAAGACACCAAATCCTACATGGAATCACCACATACAGTTCTAGACCTACGAAACATCAAGAAGACACTCAAATAGCCCAACAAAACAATATCGGGAAGTCAAAACATCAAATACCGAGTCAAATAATCACGGGGAACAAATCCCCAAAAAACCAACAAGGTGTACCCCGCGGGAACCCTTCCTCCCAAGCCACGTACCCCGCGGGTGGGGCGGCGGGTGGTGCACTACCCGGCGTTCCGCCCGCGGGTACACTACTGTACCAAAATAATCCCTTCTGGGATTTTCAACACCAAGTCCAAATTCAAGTCCAAAACACCCAAAATCTCACAAAATACAACAATATGACTTGAATCAAAGGAATAGCCAAGCAATGGCATACAAAAACCCTAATAATAAGCTCTAGATATGCATTCTCACAAGACAATGCATCAAATCTCACATTTCATATCAAAAATCACAAGTAGAAGTCAAGAAATCATCATATAGGTAAGAAAATAGATTTTGTAAAGCATGGCACTAGTACAAAATTGCAGATAGACAACCATTGTAAAAGACAATAGGCAACCATTGTACAATGGTTGCCTATGAGAGGCTCACCTAAAGTCATCGACTTTACGCGACCATTGTGAAATGGTTGCTCATTGTTAGTAATACGCGACCGTTCTTAACAAAGAACGGTCACGTATTGTATTTTTTTTTTTTAATTCGAATAAGTCATCCGCGACCATTTTTGGCTAGGAATGGTCGCGGATGACTTTTAATTTTTAATTATTTATTTAATTAAATTAAAATTCCTAATTTTTTTATAATTCTTGTACCAGGTACAACTTATTATTCAAATCCTATCAACATTACTCCACAATACAATTTATCTATCAACACACTTTAAAACAATACCTTTAACACATACACAATGCAAATACTATATATCATCAAATTAAACACAATGCAAATACTATATATCATCAAATTAAACACAATGCAAATATACTATCGTCAAAATACAATATATAGCACTTAAAATCCTCATACTTTAATATAATTAGATCAAAACATGCCCAACTCAATACTATCATCAAAAACAAAATACTTTTTATAAATAAAATAAACTTATAAGCACTCGGAAAAGAAGAACTTTGACCAATGCTCTCGAAGCTCATTTATGTTGTCGATAGAATACGGAATATCGCTTTCAAATGCCTACAAAAAATTAAATTAATAAAATTATTAAATTTGTTAATTAATAAAATATAACTTAACTATACATAGTTCTATTTAAATCCACTTACCTCATCCAAATTATCAATAGATGAATATTTTGTCACGAGATATAAAAACTATACTCACATAAAAACTACCACAAGGAGAACGCTTACCTTGAGTTCGCTTGCCATTTGCTCATTGTCTGTGTTTGGGACTCCCCATTTCAAAGCAATTTTTGCTATATGACATTTCTCCCACAATTTAAGCACTGCTTCAGTCACTCCTTGGAGTTCTCTATTTATCCCTGAGGTTACATGGAAATAAAATAGTCAGACTCGAACATGAGACGCCACAAATTACAAAAGCAAGAACAAAATACCGAGCACAAAATGAGTTGGCAAAGGACGAGCAAGCTTCCTCAAGTACGTTAGCTCATATAAACGAGGTTTTATTGGGTGCCAAAGGTCCCAAGAGCATACACTTATAATTCATGAAATGGCCTTAAAATATACCTGCTTGATTGGCCTCAACTTCAGTAATACATCACTTATTTCCATCTCAACCTCTGAATCCTCTGAAGCAGTAGTATTTTCTGAGCTTGCATAACCAAGAGAACTCGGTAAACATGCACTAGCTGGAAAGTAGCATTAGATTTTCAATCTTCCAATGAGCATATAACTTTGCTTTTCAAGAACTGCCTGTTAAACAACCAAGTCACGTGAGGTAGTCATCATAATCTCCTCATAATCTATTCAGATGATAAAAATGTTATTCTTAATCAGAAAAAGCAATGAAACCATCAAGAAACTTAATAATTTTACACAAGACTTCTCTACAGATAATGACTTGCATATTAATGGCATCAAGTACTTGACAAAAGGAAGGTTTATGAACTAAATCATGGTATATAGCCATAGTAACAGACATATTTTCAAAACCCGATAGTAAAAAGGACATTACATTACAACACTTACACTTAAGAGGCATACGAGAGAGCGTACCAGATGAGAGAAACATTTGGCGAGGCACAATGGTTTTTCATGCCTTCTGCATATATTACATAGGACTACTAGTATCTTGTTCGTTGAAAATTAGAGGGAATTCGTCGTATGGTTCAGAGATACCTTGCTGTGCAGCCATTTTGTTCAATGCTTCGTATGCAATTTGGTGGCATCATTTTGTTCATGAACTGATTTGTGGCATCAATTCGGTGTGATGGACTTAACTTAATTATGATACCCTTGTAAGAAAATTCAGAAGTAAACATTTAACAGTGAAAGGATATTGCTTCACTCTCGGGAAGATTTGGTGCATCAAACACCTTGCATACGCGTTGTTCTCCTTTTCCCTTCCTGAACATTAGCCTTATTGTTGCAGCATGAGCAAGTACATGCCCTCCTGCTGGCTTCTTTGGATCTGATATGAAGACACCTCCTCCTAGATCAGCAATAACTGCACTCACAAATTCAATTGCATGTTTTAGCAATGTCTTGCAATTCTATTGCAGGATAACAAAGGAAAAAAATAAATAAAATGTGACCAACTTATTTTGCACTTTTTGAGAATGAAGTGTTCTATTAGTAGCATAAAAAAATAAGGCTATATCCTGATGAAAACATAAACTGTGACAGACAGACATATATACATGTATAATTAATCCGTTTCAGACTTTCAGCAGGAAACAATCCCCCTCAAAAAGGATTTAAGGAAGCATCAGTTACTAAACTGGCATGCTCAAAATTTGCTTCAGACTAAATGGCTTACCTTGGTTGGTCATGTAAACAGCAACATTAAATTCCTCAGCAATTTTTGTCAATCTGGAGAGCATCTGAGCCAACTTTTGCTGGAAATACTACATATCAAAACAGGCATCATACTCTGAAAGAATACAACATATAAAGATGCTACTGAATCATCTCAAGTTATATCTTTAGTACCTGGCGTTCTGCAAGTTCTCCTCTTCCTGTGAAATCCACTCGAAACAATGCAATTACCGAATCAACAATCTGCATTTTCATTTGAAACATATGAGCCAACTATTACCAGTTATTACCTACATTAATGAAAAATTGAAAATTTTGACATCACCAGAAGCCTGAAAGGTTCTTCAGCCATTTTTGCTGCCAGACCAAGGAGTAGGTTGTATTGGTGCTCATATGTGTATGCACGAGCATAAATGATCTTGATGTATCATGGGAAATAAGATTGAATAACAAGAAAAGAATTCAGTATTGAAACCAAATTAGTAGGTGCAGAAGTAGATGAAGTTGTCAAACACGATTAGACAATAAAATAAACAGAATAATTTGTTTTACATTGTCAAGAACAGCTCCGGCATCCATGCCAAATCTTTCAGCAATTGGCAGAATACGATCAGGTCGGCTACAAGTGCATATAGTTGAGGAAGGAGAAAATAAATGTACCAACTTAACTTTAATACCAAAAGAGACAAGTACAGAAACAACCAACTAGGATACAAAGTTCCCTCTGTGCCTATATAAGCAACCTTCCCATTTCCTCCTTTCATGCTAGTAGGGAGCTGTAGCAGGATAAGAAAATGAATTAATTCACTCAGGATCAAAATCTTACTATTGGGGCTAAGATATAGAATTTCATGTGGAGAAGAAGCAAACCTGAGTAGAAACACACAGAGTATGAGCAAGTTGTGTCTTCCCAGATCTGAACAAAATGTCCATTGAGCAAGGGGTTAGTTTACTAGCACAGCTTTAGTGAAATTTCCAAGTATAGGGTCAATAATCACCTGAATTCCCTGAAAGCTTCAGTAATTGCAGAAGTTTCTATCCCTCCTTAACAAATTCAAAAGGTAGAAGACCCTCAAAAAAGTGATCAAGTGATTTGTATTACTGTGGTAAAACATTTGGAACAAAATCAGATAGAATTTATGAAAGTTTTACCTCCTAAGAGTTCATCAAGAGCCTGGCTTCCAGTTGTAACATGAACTACTGACTTTCTCTGCAATAATACAGAGTTATTTTTTTTTAATGTCAATGCAGAACTAAGCATTACAGTTCCTATCATCAGGAGCAATTTAATTTTTGAGAGAAGTCTTATTTGCAAGCTCTAATCAAGCAACCCTATTTCATGCAATATTGCTAGGCCACTAAATTTAGGTTTAAAAGGAAATTCAGGGCTTACTTTAAGTAGAGCATCACTCCCTGTGATGTAACCAAAGTTCTGGAAAGAATAGCAAAAGAGAGAATTGAGTACGTGCAAAAAATGAAATATGAAAGCATGATGCGAAATTTGACAATTTTGACCATCAGGAAATGATATCCTAACCACTATCTTCCCTGTAGCTTCACAGATCTTATCAACTTTTGCCTCAGCTAATCCTTTGATTCCTGTCAAGTTCTGGAAATAACAACAGAATTCTAGTTTTAAAATCAAATAATGGACAGTGACAAGTTTCAGAAGAGGAAACAGCACTTTCACCTTTTTGGTGTGCATCATCAATCCGTTGCAGGTATAGATACCTGCATCCTGAAGCTTCTTCACATCCCCAGCATTAATTCCATGGGATGTCACTGTTTAAAAGGTCAATAAACAGTTAATGAACTGAATCGCATAACAAATTCAATAAAGTAAAATTCCAGTAAAATTCCAGGGAATTCAATAAAGTAAACAGCATATATATAGAAACTTCACATTTTATATCAGAAAAACAATGCCAGGGAATTTGCTTTTGGATTTAAACTGCAATATGACAATTAGCGTTCAACCACAACTCTTGGACATTAGGTATGATAACATGAATCACAAACGAGGATAGTTCAGCAGTTTATTGTGAGAAATTAGAATGCCAATTCGAAAATCAAGGAACAAAAAACACATGAATGATGGTCAGACCAAGTTACAGTCCATAAATCAAACAGCTTCTATTCATTCACACATTTTACCATCCTGTTTCCATTCTTAATATGCACTCCATTTGTGAGAAAATCTCATCATAAACACAAAAATGGAAGCAAACATTGGGTTAAGTAGATGCTAAAGTTGAACAGTCATACAACACAAATCTAACTGAAAACTAGAAATTGAACAGTCATACAACCAGTCAAAAGTCTGAAATTGCTAGAGATGTGGAATGAAATCAACAAATCATCCGAAAATTCACGAATCAGAACTGAACATTGCGGAAAAAAGAAAAAATTCATCAACAATATTTAGCCTATAGAGAGAGAAGTGGATCTATCCTCTATCCACAAACTCAAACACCGATATACACAAATCCAACTAAAAATCAAATGCAAGCAAGCACTGAAGCACAAAAAGAGCAGAGGGAGAAGATAAACGAACGAGGTTAACAGGTGCTCTGATGTGGGTCGCCGGGCGAGAGCAGATCGATGATGGGGAGATGATGATGATGCGACGGTGGGGGCGTGCGACGGTGAACGTGGTGCTGTGCGTGTGGCGGTGCGTCGCGGTGGCGGTGGGTCACCGGGCGAGAGCAGATCGGCGAGGTGGCGGTGGGTCGCCGGGCGAGAGCAGATCGATGACGGGGAGATGATCGTACGTTCGGTAGCTTCAATCGTACGTTCTGATCGATGATGGGGAGATGATCGTTGGGTACGAGCAGATCGGCGAGCTTCAATCGTACGTTTGGTAGCTTCAATCTACGGCGGGTTATGAGTATGGTAGCTTCAATCGTACGTTCTGATCTGATTCAATTCGTTCGATGATGGGCATGTAGATCTAGGGTTAATTTTAAACAATCATTTCTATTAGGAATCGTTGCCTATTACAAAACAAGTCCTATTTTAAGGCAACCATTTTTATTAGAAATGGTTGCCTATTATAAATTAATTGTTTTTTAAATAAATACAAAATACAATGGGCAACCATTACAGCTAATAATGGTGGTGGATTATTGATCACTTATTTACAAAATTGCCACCGCGAATTTTTGGGTTAAGATTAAGCAACCTTTCTTTCAACAATGGTGGCCTATGGTCAATCTTCTATGTTCAATTTTGTACTAGTGTGGGTTACCTCTTGTAGCCTAAACCTTCACTTTTCACAACCTTGAAGCTTCTCATAAAGCTCTCCTTCAACTTCAACTTTAAGAACACACCAAAAAACAACAAAGATTCTATCTTTTAGAAAAGACACCTAAAAAGGTACTAAAAACACTAAAGAACCAAAGATTTTAACCTCCTATATGCTCAAGCTTAAGAAAGGTTGAATCTTGGAGACTAGCTTGAAGAATCTTGAATTGCCCAAACTTGGCTTGAAGAAGAAGCTAGCTATTTTCTAGAGAGAAGGAGGAGCTTTTCTTTTTAGGGTGTTAGGGAAAAGAAATGAAAGATGACTCTAGGTTAGCTTGGAATACAAACATAAGGTGAAAATTCTTCTTTACCCTTACTAAAATGAGAAGTGTAAGGATATAAGGGAACAATTCTTAAAGCATAGAGTACAACCCATTGACTTGGATTGACTAGTCAATTTCTAGTCCTCCGACTATTGAATTTTCATATTTTAGGAATAAATTACCAACTAAGCTAGGATTAATTATCTAATTAATCCTTAAATAGATTTTGGATTTACGGGGTGTCACAATTTTACTTTTATACATATATATATATATATATATATATATATATATATATATATATATATATATATATATATATATATATATATATATATATATATATATATATATATTCAATTAATATATTATACAAGTTTATATTATACTTCATTGTATTCCAATTAATTTAGGTAAACTTAAAGTTGAACTAACTAAAAAAATTAAAATTAAAAAGTATTTTTGAATATAGTGTTATTCAAATTATTTTATCTTATTGATCATATTTCATATTTTGTCATAAATATTTTCATATTTTCATATTTTCACCCCACTCAAGTATATTTTTTATTTCGACTCTAACTATAGTGTAATCTATAAAAAAAAACATTCTATTGTAATTTATAATGTATTTTGTATTTTGATCTTATTATAGTTGTTTGACATTTTGTAATTGACATTTCTAACCTCATTTAAATTTCGCCCCCACTCAAATAATTTTCTGGCTCTGTCCCTATATATATATATATATATATATATATATATATATATATATATATATATATATATATATAGTAGAGTTTCAATGAGAACACTTGCATAGGTGAGAACGTGAGAACAAATCGTGTGCATCCATCTAATTTTTTTAATGGTCTAGATTAGATCAGATTAAGGGTGTGCAAATGCGTGAGAACATCAAGAAGACACTCAAATAGCCCAAAAAACGAACATCGGGAGGTCAAAATATCAATTACTGAGTCAAAAGAATCACGAGGAAACAATCCCCAAACATACACAACCTTGTACCCGCGGGTGGGGCCATGGGTGGACCCCCACCCGTGGTTCCGCCCGCGGGAACCACTTCCCACACCAAGCGTACCTCGCGGGTGGGGCGGCGGGTGGACCCCTACCCGTCGTTCTGCCCGCGGGTACATACCTTGTACCAAAATAATCCCTTCAAGTCCAAAACACCAAAAATCTCACAAAATACAACAACGTGACTTAAATCAAAGAAATAGTCAAGCAATGACATACAAAAATCTAATAACAAGCTCTAGATATGCATTTTCACAAGACAATGCATCAACACTCACATTTCATAGCAAAATCACATGTAGAAGTCAAGATATCATCATATAGGTAAGTAAAATAGATTTTGTAAAGCATGGGTTACCTTATTCGCTTAAAATCCAAAAACAACGCCACTTAGGCTCAACTCATAAGCCAAACTATCAAAAGGGGAACCTGCGAATTAAACCGATCCTTCACTTTAATAACAAATATACAAAACAAAACTAATTAACCTATGAGGGGATTTAAACCCTAGCTTAACTTAAGATTAGACACAACCTTACCACCTAGGCTAGGCTTGTGACACCCCAAAAATCCACATTCAATCCATGGATTAATTGAATAATTAATCCTATTTTATTTGAAGAATTAATTCCTAAAATCCTGATTTTTAATACTCAAGGACTAGTATTTGACTAGTCAACCTTAAAGTTGTGTTGTACCTTGAGCTTTGAGGGGAGTTCCCTTGTTCCTTACACTTTCTAAAGGTTAGTAAGGGTATTCTTGACTTTTCACCAAGAGTTAGTATTATAATCTAACCTAGAAGACTTCTTTATTTCATTCCTTACATTTCCTAGAAATTAGCTCTACCTTCTCTCTAGAAAGGTGAGTAGCTTATTCTCCAAGCCAAGTTGAGACCCTTGTCAAGATTCCAAGATTTGCTACCAAGATTCAACCTTTCACCTATTTGGGCATCTAGGAGGGTAAGATCTAAGTCCATCTTGTGTTTTTGGTTCCATCTTAGTTGTCTTTTTCTTAAAGGTAGGATCTTTATGATCTTTTGGTTTGATCTTGAAGTGGGTTTGGAAAGTAAGCCTTGTGGGGAGCTTGTTGTGGTGTAAAGTGAAGTCTTTTGGTCTACAAGAGGTAACCCATGCTCTACAAAACCTATTTTGCTTACCTATATGTGATTTCTTGGATTCTACATGTGTTTTGCTATGAAATGTGAGGGTTTATGCATTTGTCTATCTAGAGCTTGTGTTTAGGGTTCCTTTGTGCCATTGCTTGGCATTTTCCATGGTTCAAGTCATTTTGTTGTATTGGGTGAGATTTGGCATGTTTTGGACTTGAATTTGTGTTTGGAGAAGAAAATCCCCGAAGAGATTTGTTGTGGAACAGGATTCTTCCCACGGGCGAAAGGTGGGCGGGGCACCACCCGTTGCCCCACCCGCGGGTACAAGGCCTCGTGGGAGAGTGTTCCCGCGGGCAGAACCACGGGCGGGGCACCACCCGTGGGTCCACCCACGGGTACACTGTTGTGGTTGTTTGGGGGATTTGTTCCCCTTGATTCGTTTGACTCGGTACTTGGTCTTTTGACTTCCCGATGTTCTTTTGTGGAACTACTTGAGTGTCTTCTTGATGTTTCGTATGTCTAGAACTATATGGTAGGAATCCATGTAGGGCTTTGGTGTCTTGAATCGTGCTGAGTGTTCAACATTGTGTTTCGTTGGACCGTGAGGTGTCTTGTATGTTCCTCGGAACTATCTTGAGTTTCCCCGTTGATAAGCATGCTAGTTTGGTATCTAAATGCTAGCGTGTGTGTTGTTTGTATCTTCTGTTTGGTTGATGATAACTTGTGTTATTCATCGTTGTTGTCGTTGGGTTGTGACCCATTCCTTGATCGAGTATGGTTTCATATCTTCGTTGTGATCCATTGATTGATTCCTGTTGTGGTGCGTGTGTGGCTTTACCTGGATTGCACGATTAGTGGTATGGGACACTAGTCACCAAGGTATTGCAGCGGTGGCCGTGACGTGATTATGGAGTTGTGGCCTTTGTGTAAGGTTCACATTTTTGGGGGATAACATGTGTTATCCGGGCATGTGTTGCCGTGTACGGCACCTTGTGTACTATGAATTGGTGGTCTCGTTGGTGGTCGTTGGTGGGGGACTACGGTCCCGGGGGAATAAGGTTGGACTTGGTTGTACAGGGGTCCTGGAGGGTAATGGTTGGAAGAAGATATAAGGTTGGGGGTAGCCATAAGGTTGGAACAGGGCATAAGGAAGGCATATCAACTCGTGATGGGTGATGTCACAAAGCTTGTGTAGCCGTGGTTGTGAGTTCTCTTTCTTGTGACGTGTGTAGTCACAAGGGCATGTGTTGCCATCGGTCTTGTCTTTATCCTTTGCATTGTGGTTAATCTTTGTGGTTTGGGATGTGTTCCCGTGTTATCTTTGTGAGTGATGAGTCTTGTGTTGACTGTTGATCTTGGCTTTTGACTTATATACTTATGTATTTCGTTTCGAAAATGGTTTTACAACTTATATCTATCTATGTATGATATTTCACATGTATTGGTGGGTTACCAGCATTATCGCTGACCAGGCGTTCTCCCAATGTTTATCTTTGAATCTTTCAGGTGATGTCTAGATGAGCGCGATGTCTAGAGGCCGGTAGCTTAGTACCTTTATCCTTGTTTTGTGGCCTGTGCGCCAATGTAGTTTTAGACTGATGCCTTTGGGATAGATGTATACACTTGCAGATTGATCGCCGTAGCGTTTACCGTGTTTGGTAGACGTGACGTAACACCCCATTTAAATTTCTTTTATCCAGTTCTCGTTTTATCTTCCGCTGTGCTAGTTTTGTTGTTTGATCTGCATGTGTTAAGGCTTTTATCTAGCTTGTTTGGGGGGTGTTACAAGGCTTCTCCTTGTTAACTTAGTTATAACATTTTTGCTCTAATAATTAAACTAATGGCCAAGCTCAAGGTAAAACTATTAATTAAATCTAACAAATAGAACTTAAGCTTAAAAAGGAATCAGACCCTCGCCAAACTGCAACATTAAACACTCCCTTACCACCACACTAAGCTACCACTTATTAAACTTACTCAACATCAAACTAATTAACTTAAGAAACAGCAACAACAACCAGAACAGAAGCTCACCATGCCTTCTTCGATCTTTACTACCATGCAAACTGTAGGCAGCGGGTGGAACCGCGGGTGAGAACCACCATCCGCCAATCTGCTGTTCACCGGAGAGCCGACCAACGCCACCACTGTCCAAGCTGCCGGAGAACCAAGCTAAGCCACCGCCAACAGCTCGCCTCCAACGAAACAGCCCACTGCACCCTTCTGGACTGCCGCCGCTCCAATCACCGAAAAACCGAGGAAGGAGAACAGGGCTCACCGGTTTGCTCTGTCTTTCCGGAAACAAAGTGTTCTGGAAGCCCGACGTCGCAGCCATATCTCCGGAGACAAGATGCTGCCCGCTGAACCAGACCGAAGCTCCGCCGCCGTCGACGAACGCTCTCTCGTTGCTGCCGCTGGGTTGCCATGGCGAAGGAGGAAGGGAAGGAAGTCGAGAGATGGAGATGGCAAACAGAGGTGGAGGCCTAAACGGCATGCTACGCGTCGAAGAAGCTCACAGAAACGAAGGGGAGAAGGAAACGATAGAGAGAGATTGCGGCTGAAGTTTTATTGCCTCATGAAGAAATGTCACAAAGATGAATATTTAGGTATACACATATGTACATAACACAATTGGTGGGTTTAGTAAATGGGTTGTGTTGGGTAAATCTCTTGGATCAAGAACTATATATATATATATATATATATATATATATATATATATATTGGGACCTACAAAATGATAACACTTATATTTACTGATGTTATCACATCTGTGCTAGTTTTTATAGTTATTTTGAATCATCTCGGTAATTAAGTTCTTTAATTTTGCTTATTTAATACATGTTTTCCTTGCTATTATCATTTAATTATGGTTCACACTCGTTTTGAATGTTTTATGGTTTTTGTTAGTGTTTTTGAACCATTGTAGGTCAAAATTATGAGCAAGGGAAGTCCTAAGACAAAATTCGAGTCAAAAGTGGATCAAAAGACCGAAGAGTTGTAATTCCCGTTGAATTCGGCAACAACTTAGTATTTTGATCATATATCATGCTAGGAATGTCCGATTCAGGTGATTCTTGGGCATTGAAAAGAAGACTCGAAGGGCTACAACCTATGACTCAGCAGAAAACTCAACGCATCGAGCCCCAGGCTCGACGCATCGAAAATTCCCAGTAACATTTCATCTCGCACAGATTGGCGGCAGTTTAGTATTTTGATCATATCTCATGCAAGGAATGTCCCATTGAGGTGATTCTTGCGCCATTGGAAAGAAGACGCGAAGGGCTACAACTCTTATAAAGACATAAAAGTCTTGATAATAAGATAAAATGGTCAAAATAAGCTGGAAAAACATACCTATTGCACTGGGTGTGATTTTTAGAAACTTCCTATTTTAAAATGGCAATATTCCAAAGCAAGATGGCTACAATAATTGTCTAATCATTCCAAAGCTAAACTTCTTAAATTAAATTAGGAAAATTCCTATTCCTTTCTAGTTTTGTATCAACTATAAAATCCCACCTCCTCAACCCTAATGAAGTAGTTTAGTTTAGAGTAAATAATTAGAATAGATAATTTACAATTCATAGTTTAGAATTCAGAGATTCTTGGAGACAAGAAGAAAAGAAATCAAGAGCCATAAGTTGTCTTGGAAAGCAAGAAGAAGACTAGGGAGATTTGGAAAAATCGTCTGGTTAATTCTTGTACTCTTTTGATGATTTGTAATTCTTTATTTATATTTGCTATGTATAATTTAGTAATGCTTGGCTAAGTTCTTTAGAGATTCTTGGGTAAAAGTGTTTATGAACCTATGTGCCTGAGCTCTCAGTTTCTTTAATATATTATTGTTTGGGTTTAATACTTGTGTTGCAATCGTGATAATATTGTTTGATGCTTGTAATTAATGGTCATAGTTACTAGCTTCATAGCCATGTTTGTGTCTCCAATGGGAGTTGGGGCATAAATTAGGGCACACACGATTGCACCTAATGGTTGGACCTTGGGAAATGGGAACTTATTAGGGGAAGTTTATTCTATATTGTTGCGCTTCGGGAGATGGTAGTAATTAGGAATAATCGAATGCTGATCTTCGACCTTATCTGGTGTTTAAGCCACGGGAGTGGAAATTCACTAGAGGTAGAAATTACGGGAGTAATTCGATTCCACCTTTCATTCCCACATAAATCTTAATTCCAAACTAAATATTACAAACGTTAATTGGCATTAGGTGATTAAATACTTGAATCCCATGAATCTCATCTTTTCTCTTATTGTTTTCAAAATCCTGAACCTCTGTTTTATTTTATTTATTTTATGCCAATCAATCATCTAAGTAATTGTTAGGATTAGCTCTAATGAATAAGTTAGTAACTAGTGCTTGATACAACCACTTCCCTGTGGATCGATAACTCGTACTCCGAGAATTATTTGTTTGCAAATATACTACGCATCAAATTGGCGCCGTTGCCGGGAAAGTGGCGTTTCTAGTATTAACATTAGTAAAATCTTTATTCTAGGAGACTAGTCCATTTTTATTTTTTATTTTATTTTATTTTGCAAACCCATGACAAGTTCCTTATTCTTGAGTGTGATTTAGTTTATGGATGGATATGAATTTCAAGGAACCATGCCATCGTTTTACCCTCCTTCTCAAGGTTATGAGATGAGTTGGAATATGAACCAAGAATATGGAGGAATGGAACAACAATTCCCTTTCTCAACTTTCACCAACTCAAGTCAAGAATATTTTCAAGAAAGTTCATATCAAACATCACAACCCCAATGGTGCTCATTTTGTGGAGGGAATCACTTTGTGGAAAATTGTTACATGCTCAACCCCACCAACCATATCTCTCAACAACCTACTCAAGGATTTTGTGCCAACATGAGTCGAGACACTTATCAAAGATGCACACCACCTATGTAACACCCCGAAATTTTAAAAACTTTTAAGACTATATAACAAAGGTAATGATCGTAAATCCAAAACATAATACAAAGAGTACGAGGTGTTATGCCACACCCGAGCTAGAGAACTCAGGTGCACAGGCTAAATTCTAAAACCTCAATCAGTATCAATACAAAATCATGGCACGCAGGCCGAAAGGGAAAACTATCTAATCTACGCCCCAAGCTTCTAGCGCGCTCCAGTGATCTACTCGTCGGTGCCTGAAAGCCAAATATATCTGTTCAGCGAGAGATGCTGGTAACCCACTCCAACACGTTGAAATACAATACATATAGATATATACATAGTTATACGAAAAACCATTTCGAAGCATGAAGATGTATCCTAAGAGACTCTAGCTTTCAAAACAGGGAATAGACTCAACAGATAGGGCTTAGCACACACAACGGACATAATCAAGCATAAACAATTCACAAGCATAGGGAAACAGGCAAGGCAGATAAAGGTAAGCACAGTTAATATCCATAACCCAACATATACGATTCCCTGCATAAATCCCAAAGTCACCTCCCGAGACACTCATAACAACAACTCATCCATATCTCATCACATAGCACACTTTGTTGGCGCCACAGGACCAATCGCATGCCCATACATGAGGGTCAGCGCATATAGCTCTGACACGGCCCCGCAGCACCTGCCCCGTATCGCAACACGGAGGGTTCGATCGCAACCGACCGATGAACCGCAGCTCATCATAGTTTGATCGCAACCAAACAGTGGACCGCAGCCCAAGAGTATGTCATCTGACCGCAGCCAGAAAATATGAACCGCAGCTCATGTAGAAACGTTTGATCGCAACCAAATGGTGGACCGCAGCCCGAGAGTGTAAATCTGACCACAGCCAGCTTTTGAACCGCAGCTCAGGAATAACCAATCCGATCGCAACCGGATTGGGGTATCATGCACACATAACACATAGCAAGCACATGCAACCCACATTAACACATTGGGGAGGGGGAGAAAACGTATAACAAAACCTATGCGTAATCCTTCACATACTAAGAATAGTCCTAAGGGGTACATACTCCATTTACCTAGGTCAACGGGATACCAATTCAATTAGCATGCAATATATAAGACTCATACAACCTACGAACGGTACCCGAAATATCAAACTAGACATAGGCACGATAGACGGAGTCCGTTAGGACACCACGGGGGTCGGGGGAACATCAAACGGGGAAGCCAAAATACCAAATTGGGTATTTTTCCAGCGGGTAACCGGTGGGTGAGGGGTCACCCGCCGGCTGCCCGCCGGCGACGATGATTCCGGGCAGCGGGTGCCTGGCGGGCAGCCGGCTGCCCGCTGCCGGAGACGCCAACAATGGCCGCGGGTAGGTGGCGGGTCCCCTACCCCCACCTACCCCCTACTGACTCTTTTATCACAAAAACGTCCCGGGAACCTTTGTGGAACCCGAAATCATGCTCAGACACTTTTAAACGCAATTGACAACAACACATGGACAATTAACGGATCCAAACGCAAGAAACATACGGCACATAACCTATCATGCTTTTCTAAACATATTCAACACCCAAACATGCGAATTCCCACCCAATACACCAAGAGTAATACCATACGTGTTTCACAATACAACCTAGGGTTCTAATCACTTTTAAATCAACAAGAACACAATTCATCTTCTAATATCAAGATTCGGTAAGAATATCACATAAACATCAAGAACATCGTACAATTATCACATAATCAACAAGAACATCATAACTCCTCAAGAACACCATATAAACATCAAGAACCTCTTATCATCATCAAGATCATCAAGATTACCCATGGAATCATAACACCAATTACCAAGATCAATATAACGAATCATCAACACACGAGAGTATGGGGAAGGCCTAAGAGGGGAATCATAGCTATGAAAATAGGTTTTGTTGTGACATGGGTTACCTCTTAGCCTTAATTAATTCCTTGGCTATGAAGGGTCTTTCTTTAAGCTTTCTTCTTTCTTAATTTCTCCTAGGGGAATTCTTGGAACTTCTTGTGTGGTGAGGGATTATTGTGGTGGGGGGTTCTAGGTGCCTCTTAAGTCCCCTATTTATATATCTAAGAGTCCTAATTAGGGCCCAAATACTATAGGCTTGTTAACTCTATTCCTTTTAGGACTAGGGGTTGGGTTTAGAGGAGAGGGCCCACGGACTATGGTGGGCCTTTTCCTAATTAATTATTGTAATTTAATTCTTTCTTTTGGGCAATTGGTCAAATGATTGATTGGTCTTAGGGGTCGTAACACGGGGTGTTACAACCTACTCCACAACCCTCATGGTGCATGATATGTGGTGGACCTCATGAGGCGGAAAATTGCTTTATCATGGATCCCAATTACAAGTATCAAGGGCATGCTCAAGAGTCTCTATACCAAGAGTTTCAACAAGATTGTCAATCACTTGACCAAATAATTGAGATGAAGTCCATAGAGACCAAGTTAATGCAATTGTGCTCGAAATGTATGGAGCAACAAGCTGGAATGGACCGCATGATAGCTCAACTTGATCACATG